GGAGTATTGATTCTTAATGTCCTCACTCTTTCTGTCTCCAAGCTGTTTCCTCTGTTCAGTGCTGACACATCCTACAGTAGGTTTCCTAGGAACTTCGGGCACTCCTCTGTGTATCCTATCTTACAGTCAGTAATAAGGATTCTTGCAATAACGTGTGTCATCGGAGCATATTTTATTACGGGGAGTTTGCTGCAGTATATCTTTAGCCAGTGGAAGGGTACAGACTAGGAACTTGAAAGTGGGACAGGGGTTTTATAGAGATTGACCTAAATAATGAATGATCTAAGATGATGATAATAGTTGGACAATGATAATAATTTCAAACAAGCCTATTCACCAGTTTAAAACACATTAGTCCTGGAGTGAAAGCTAGGGGAATCCTTCTGTGACCTTTAGAGACTTGAGCTACTAAAGGGAAAATATTTAATATTTGAAAATGAGAGTCAGCAAGATGGTTCAGCAGATACAGGTGCCTGCCACTAAGTTCGATGTCTTGATTTTGTTCCCCAGGACCCACAGAGTAGAATGAGAGAACTAATTCTATTAGCTTGTCTTCTGATCTACATACAAAGGCTGTGGCTCACCTGCACACACGTACACAAATAAAAATGTAATAAAAATTAATAGGAGAAATATGTTTACAAAATAGCTTAAGATGTCATATGAAATTTAATGGAAAAGAAGAAAGAAAATGTGTGTTTCTATTGAGGTTAAAGGCCTTGGATGAGCCAGACCTCTGAGTGTTGATGAGCAGATGCACATAGAAAGACTCTGTTTTGGTCAGCCCTTTGCTTGCTCATCTGAGTTTCTGTCCCAGGGATACAGGCAGATGTGAACTGCTTCCTGGTACTTTGCTCATACACCTTGCTTTTCTGAATGACCTTCTGCAAAGAGATAATATTCTCCACAGTGAGAGCCCACACAGAACACAGAGACAGGGTGGAGAAGGCACCCCCGAATTGTGGGGTGTGCCAGACAGCTTTTCTTCGAGGTCTTAGCTACATTGTTGGAAATGTCACTCCAATAGGAGAATGGTTTCTGCCAGTCATATGGAGAAAAGGGTAATATGGGAAGGGTATGTCCTCCTTCCAGACCTCCCTATTTGCTCTTGAAAGAAGAGCATGGATAATGTAAATTTGAAAATATTGTGTAAAAGCAATTACTTTATTTTGGGGGGTTTACTTGGGATCAAAGCCAGGGCCTTGCACAAACTGGATAAGTACACCCCTCTAAATTGCCTCCCATCCCTTGCTTATTTTTTTTCACCAGTTATAAAACTTTACTAGGAACATGTCAAATAAGTTGTAAAATACAGTTACCCTTCTTCCTCTCAGCTTAAAAAAAATGCAATTAGAACTTTCAACCATGACCCAAATATCTTTAAAATGTGAAAAGACATATTTTAGGTTAGGTAACAGATACACGTTTCCCCAGATAGATGTGGTAGAAGGCCATCTGTCCCGCATCTGAGTGCATTCCCTCGGAGTCACACTTCTGTTGCTCTTCCATTTTTTTAATTAATTAATTAATGTATTTATTTATTAAAGATTTCTGTCTCTTCCCTGCCACCGCCTCCCATTTCCCTCCCCCTCCCCTAGTAAAGTCCCCTCCCTCGTCAGAAAATTCTTGCTTATTTTTTTAAAGATAGGATTTTACTGTATAACTCAACTGGCTGTGAACTTGTTAGGTAGCCCAGGCTGGCTTTAAAGTCAAGATCCTCTGCCTTCACCTTGTCCATGCCTAGCCAAAGTAATAATTTTGATGATATGTGCCTTTAATGATGTAAATGTAGAGACCGCTGGAAGAAGTTAAAAGTATCCCTCACTCAGTCAGCAGACATCTGTTGAGCTCCTTCTGTGTTTGACTTATGGAACTTTCCGTAGGGAAATGTAATCTACTTATTTACTTTATTCATTTTAAATGAACGTTAGTTAGAATTCTATTTCTTATGTCCAAGGTTGTTGGAAGTAGACTGTATAGAACATAAACACTCCGTTAATGGCTACCCCCTAGCACACTCTGGCTGATCTCTAATCTCTGCACAGAAAACCCGTCGCACCTAATGACTCACCTCTGAATACACAGCACATTTCTGCGATCCGAGAATCAGATAACCCTGATTAGTGGACCGGAACTGAAAGGGAGAGTCACCACGACTTCCGTGAATCTCTTAGAAAGTAAAGCAATTGTGCCTTAATGGATGAGTTTCACAATGGTCGCTTCAGCTCCTGGATCCTGGATGGCCTGGGTCAGGCTGCTCAAGGATCCTGGTGAAGCTGAGATACCTGATTAGAATTATGCGAAATATGCCCATTCTTGGCATTTGACAGGTTTTCAGTCTCAAAAACAGGTGACTAGAAAAAAGAAGCTAGGTGTGATGTTCCTACCTACACTCTCACACCAGGGGTGCTAAGGCAGGAGCGTTACCAAAAGTTGGAGCCACTCTGTGCTACCAGCTAAGGTCCAAGCCAACCCAGACACACGTGTATAATATGCACATCTGTCTTTTTATATACAAAGGCTTTCTCCTTTAAGTCACTCTGCTATTGTGTCTTCACTTATTTCTAAAACTGTCTTTTTTTCCTTAGTGCTCCTATGTTGGCAACCTGACATTAATGTCTCTTTATTACATCCTTCAAACACTATAATTTAATTCAAAATCTTGCTTGTGAAAGATATTTAACACTAAAGCTTTTCAGATACAAACTAAAACTCAAGTAGTAAATTTTTCCTTTTTTTTTTTTAGTAAGTCTTAAAAATTTATTTCAGCCAGGTAAGGTCTATTGCTATAATCCTAGCATGCAGGAGGCCAAAGAGAAGGGTATGTGGCCAGAGTGGGCCCCATATCAGGACTGTCTTTCAAAGAAAAAAAAAAGGTTTTGTTTTGTATTTGATGTTTTTTTCCTTTTTTCTTCCTTTTATTTTCCTTCTTTCTTTTCTTTTTTCCCCAAGACAGGGTTTCTTTGTACAGTCTTGTCCTGGAACTAGATCTATAGACCAAGCTGGCTTAAAACTCCTGAGTGCTGGGATTAAAGGCATGCGCCACCTCTGCCTGGATGTTTTTACTTTTTCATTTAGTACTGACCTCAGTGGTGAATGTCTGCATTCCCTGCACTCAGGAGCCTGAGGCAGGAGGATCATGGGTTGAAAGTCATCCTTGGCTACTTTGAGTCATGAAACCCTATCTCTAAATAAAACAAAACTACATTTGGCTTAGTGTCCTGTTCAGTCTTTCTGGTCCTCGGCCCTAGGGTATGGGAACCCATCTTTCTGCTGATTTCTTTGCTTGGTTTTGCATAGGTTGCCTCTCCTGGTGATGGAGACAAAGTCAGGTCATGACATAACTCTGTAAGAGAAGCTCCTGAGGAGACAATGCACTGTAAATCACTTTCTCTCTGGTTCATCCAGGAAAAGGCACCTTTTCTCAGAGACATTGTCACCTAGTTTCATAACTTTCTCAGTTCACTTATTTTTCGTATGTATAGACGAATATAGAAAGACGGCTATAGTATTATAGTATTCATATAAAAACCAAGGGACACCAGTCTATTAAACCTGGCTTTGGAATTTGTCTACGGCTATGTAGTGGCACCGTATACATTGGTGTCCATTGCTAATCTCCAGAGTCAATGTTCAAGTAGGAGAAGTTTGAAAGTAGTAACTTGAGGTACCTTTATATGTTAGCCACCCATAAAAATAGCTGCAATCAACCCCAAAACGATCTCCCTCTTTCTTTTATGTAGAGTAATAGAGATTATTATAGCTACAATGTGTCTTCTCCATGTTCCCCATGCTGGTTCGTCCCCATAGTCTGTGCTCTGAGGCCTACAGGGCATGTCTGTCATGGGCCATAGCAACCCATATCGAGTTCTCTAACCCATTTCCCAAACTGAAGTTTATGCTTTACTTTATTGCATGATTCTGGAGACATCATTGAGAAGAGCAGGCGAAAGAAACCAAAGCTATAACAAACTATCTATCACTAAAGTTTTCAAGAAGTTGCTTGGCTGTCCACAGAGTGACAGAGTGTGAAATCGAAAAACCTCAACACAGCCAGAAACCAACCCATTGTCCAGGTAGTGACTTCCATCTGCAAATGGAAATTGCCATCTAATTGCCTTTTGAGGCTGCTAGGAGCTAACCTGTGGCTAATAACTTGTGTCCCCATAGGTATGCACATATGCCGTGTTTATCCTCTCCATAACTCGTAGTACTTTGATGCAGTCAGAGAAATTACTGTATGTTTTGTTTATTTGTTAAAGACGGAGTCTTCTATTTTCCAAAAATCTCAGCTGAGTTGCTGTGGGGAAGTGGCCGCCAGAGGTCCTTGTAGACATCGCTCAGCCACAGTGGGGCTGAAGGGTTAAAGGGGTTTCTGGTCTTCTGTAAATAAAAGCTTCTTAATGAAGGCATTATCACCACTACCCAGGGCAGCAAAAACAGCGACTAGCTTATTAATTCTCTTAAGTACAATTTACAAAGTTTTGGATGCAAGCCGTCTTTGGATTGAGGACATCCCTAGCAGAGCAAATGACACATGGGGACTAATGGGGAAATGGGTGGGGGAAGCAGGGCTAACTTGTAGGACAGATACTGAGCCCTCTCTCCCTTGGGGCGCAGCCTCCAGCAGTGTCTTAGGGCCTTTCACCAACTTCTCTGGATGTCAGTGATCAGTCATTCTTGAACACTCCGTGGTGCAGAAGAAGACCCTGCTCTCCAGGCATGGTGTCTGCAGTGACTGTCTCTCAATCAGGGTGCCCTGCTTTGCTCAGGAGCCGGACGCACTGCAGAAGGGCCCTGGTGGAATCTGGTGGCTGCAGCCAGGCGCGACCCCAGCCCTGAGGCCCACGCTGCCTCCACTACACTTGCTCGGGGGCTCCCACCCCGAGGCGGGCTCTGTGTTTGGCTGCTGTTCAGCCGGCGCTGCCCCTCCGCCTCCCCCCCCCCCCCCCCCCCCCCCCCCCGCCCCTTATCCCTGGAGACTCCGTGGCTGCCGGAGCTGGAGGTGGAGCCGAGCCCTCTGCCGACTGGCAGGAGGGAAAGTTCGGCAGAGGCGGGAGCAGCGCAGCTGAGGGACCCCGCCCGGCTGTCAGCAGGGCTGCTGGGGTAAGTAGGGGTCTCTTACCCGGAGTGCAAGGCCGGGCGTGGCCGGCTGCGTGCGGGTGTGTTGTTGCCACTCGCCCGCTCAGCTCAGCGCCACTGCTTCCTCGGGGTTGGCTCTCTGTCAGCCCTGGAGGACGACCCCACGGCTGGTCTCCTGTGATCACGTTATCTTAGGGCTGAGGACTCCGCGATCACTGCCGCTGTGGATAGTGCTCGGTGCGTGGCGGGCTCGGTGCCTCTACATGGACCACGAGTGCGGCTCCTAGCGAGGGTCTCCAGTGCCGCACCCCGTGGCCAGCGCGGCTTCCCCAGCGCTGAGTCCGGAGCTACTGGCTAACTATACAAAACCCCTTTTCAAAGTAGCTTTGGCACGCGTTGGCGCCCCTAGTTTGCTGTTCCCGGATTATTTTTTGCTGTGATGGAGAGGGTGGCCCGTGGGCAGCAAGCTTTCCTACATTGTACCAGTGCAATGGTGACTTTCTGGATCCCGAGGGTCTCCACTATCTGAGTGACCCAGTACAACCGTGTGCGCCAGGGGTGGAGAGAAGCTCTCCTAGGACATGGTCTTGGGGGTGCAGTGGGGCATTCTGAAAGCTGGAGGAAAAGGAAAGCTGTGTTGGGCGAAGGCAAAGTTGTTTGTTTCCGCCACACTTCCTGCACCTGTACCCCTGTCGTTTGAAGTTTATAGAGGAAAAGACAAACAGTACTGGACATGGCCAGACATTGAGCCTCGGTGGATGCTAAAAATGAAACGGTAATGAATAATAGGATGACTGTATTTTGCAAACTCCATTTTTATTCTGATTGCAAGTCTTAGCACAATTGTCACATAAATGTCATTAAAGATAACTAACTACAGTCCCGTTTATAAGGAATTTAAGTGTCTAGTAAATCCTCATAATTCTACGGGGTTTCTTGGATTGTGTTAACACTTTTCATGTAAGAGAGTCCCAATTATTGTGAGCTGTGAGCATTAATAAACTCTGGGGTTTGGCCACATGGAAAAAAGTCTTTCAAACGTGAAAATAGCATAAAGACAGAGGGTAACTGGTGCCCTTGGCATAAAAGGTCACGGGAGCAACCAGAAGAGTGATTACTCCCATAGAGGGATCATGCATTGAGCTTCCAGGAAGTGCCAATTCTGGGAAAATGTGAGATGGACCGTATCCAGTGTAGGAACTTAATAAATGTATAAGCATTTCTTTCATATTGAGCTACCTATTGTGTGTGTCCAACCTGCAGCCTATGGAGGGCAATAGGGTAAATAATAATGCTAAGGGCTGTGTGTGTGTGTGTGTGTGTGTGTGTGTGTGATCAAGGTTTTCAGTGTGGTGCAAATGGTCAAGCTTGGATTTTGCAGATTAGGACACACCTGCTGCCACTACAAATCAAGCAATTCCCCCCCCCCCCCCCCCAGACATTGTTTCTTTTTGTTGCCCTGGCTGTCCTGGAACTTACTCTGTAGATCAGGCTAGCCTAGACATCACATCTGTCTGCCTCTGCCTGGCAAGTGTTCAGATTACAGGCATGCAACCACCAAATCAGGATCAGGCAATACTGCTTTAATTCTCTCCATATTTCTGTCTCAGATCTCATATGTCTAGTTGTAAAGTGTATTAGCAAGCTTCAAAGAAAATACCCAATTTTTTGATTCATCTGAAGCATTTATCTAATTATTCTTTATCAATAAAAAAATCAGGAGTCAGATATCTGGTTAAGAGCCTGGGAGGCCAGAGAAGCAGTGGGGCAGCCAGCTGTGTTGGCCTTCTACCTCTTCTGTTCCTCTATCTCTTCCATTCCTCTATCCAAAAAGGCCAGGAGCCTCTCTGAGCCCCACCTTACTGTCTCAGTCCTCCAAGACCTCTATGGTCAGTTTTGGTCAGCTAGTGGCTAGCTCTGCCCTCTGTTTCAAAACAAACTTTATTGTCAGAATGCAATCAAAACATCACACAACGCTCACCCATTTACATGACTGTGAGATTGTGCTTTGCCATTCCAGAAAGCTGTCGTCCAAGAGGCTTGTCCTGCTTTTTAACCACCCTGGGCAAGTCATGTGCTCTTTCCAATACCAGAATTCTAATGTGCAAAATTCTTGCAATACTCCTCACTTGATAGAGATACTTGGAGAATTAAATAACATTCTTTTAGAAGTGCTCAGAACACAGTAGACCCCTTCTTGAATGCTATCTCTTGTCTTTCTTAAATACTTTTAGATATGTTTTACCTCTTAAAATCTTTAAAATGTGTAATTCTTCCTCTTATGTGATCTTTTCCCATCCGTCCATCCATACACCCATAAGGCTGTTGCTCACTGAAGGTCACTGGATGTTTCCCTACTTGTCCATTTGAACCCAGGAGTTGCCACTGTGGAGGATGCTGGTAGGCACCGCTTCAGTTGTGTGTGTGTGTGTGTGTGTGTGTGTGTGTGTGTGTGTGTTTTGGTTGAGAATCCAGTCTTCCTGTTTTCCAGTTCTGTGCTGGATAATGATATCATACTGAAAAGCAGAAACAGTACTCTGTGCATGGCTGCTCTTTCTCCTGCTTCTCTTGTCCCAGCCCACTCCATACTGGCAAGTGGTAAGGACTTAAGGGTTTGTTGGCTTGGAAGTCACAGTGTAATAAAGTTATTCTTCAGGTCACATCTGTCCTTTTCTATTTCTGATGAAAGGATCTTGGGATTGTAAATTACAGCCCTACCATATATTAAGGCTAACAGAGGTCCTAAAGAGGCTGAGATCAGGTAGACTTTATTACCTATTGATTTTGGCCTCATGATAAAGTGGTTTTATAAAACCTGTAAAAGCCGAGGTCTAGCAGTGGCTCCACCACTAGGGGCCTCCTCTGCACATGGGAACACCCTGCACATCATTTGTTCCCAGTCTTTGGGCCTTTCAGATAGCAGAGAAACCGAGCTTCCTTCACCAGGAAAGAACACATTTGCAAAAACCATTGACAAAGGCCTGAAAATAATAAAAGCTCTCTTTGATGGATCCAATGGGGTTTTAAAAATAGGTTTAGAGGCTGAAATAGTGAAATTTTTACTTTATGTATCATAATATTCATATATGAAATTTAGAAATTAAATACGTGATTCAGATGTAGAATTTTAATGTTTTTTTTGTGTGTGTTTGTATGTGTGTAGGTTCATCTGTTTATGGTGGATTTATTCTTAATCTTTTAATATACTTAAAATAGCCTTTTCTCCTAAATAGATACGTGTGGCACTATGTGTATCTGGTACATATACATTATAATGTACTGTAATAATATGAATTGCTTCTCGAGGGATTTTATATAGCCAGTTGAAGTCCCTCTTCTCTGCATTTTTTTCTTTTTGGAGCTACACTAAATTTCACCCTTAAAATGTTTTGTTGCATTCTACCACGCAGCATTAAAGGAAATCTCTCTTTTGTGGAGAAGTTTTGTCTAAAGTAGGGCCTCAATTGTAGCATGTTGGCCTCAGATCTTCAGTGACCCTCCACACATACCCAGCTGTGAGTTTTAGAAAGTTCTTTTCCTTGTAAATTCTGATTTTAGTGAAGTCAGTCAGGCTTAAGGATATTTGTTGAACAGCTTGAAGGTGTGTTTATTTCCTAGACAGACCTCGTTACTTGGGAGAAGAAACACTGACAGTCTATGCAAACCGGCAGTATCATCCCCAGTAGAACCATAGCATTTGCAAATAAATAAGAATAGTTTCAGGTTTCCAGTGAGCTTTAGTTTATTTCGGGAAGCTGAACAACTTTATTCTACACAGAAAAGTCAGCTAAGGTAAAGAAATTCTACACACTGAGACTCCATACCTTCCAAAGGGGTTTCTCTTCTTACATATAGAACCTTTCTGAATTCAGAAACATTTCAGACATCCAGTTGTGATTTTGCTGTGACTCAAAAACAAGGAAATCTGATTGTTTTTGTTTCTCTGTGGAGATCTAGGCTAGCCCATTGCTGAGGAACAAAATGAGAGGACTAACTTTTATCATGAAGGCCACAGATAATTTTTATAACCACCACCCTGCCATTAGGCTGAATTCTTTGGATTGTTTTCAGGGTTCTGGCATATCAAAGTGCTGTGCAGATCCTGTTTGTACAAAGGTATGCTTCCCTAGAACAGGAAGAGATTTTTAACCTCCAGCTAGGGAAGGGCTTGGCACCCCTCAGCCTCTCCTTCCTCTTCCCAAGGTGGAAGTTGAGCCTCAGCCAAAATGACAGGCGTAGAGCTTGCTGCAGAACTGTGATTTAGTTTGGGCAAGAACCCTGAGCTGACAAAGATTATGGATGCCTGCCGGAGGTTCAGAAAATGAATGGTTCTTTATACCTGGGAGTCATTTATAGGGCCCTGCGTTTGGGAGGTGCCACCTGTGTGGAAATGACGACTGTGAGCTAGAATGTTTTGAGCCTATCACTTAGCACAAGCTGCACAGATTTTTTCGGTTGCTTTTCGGCAATGCAAAACCCAAACATTTGGTTATTCTGGCATCACATCTGCTCCTTTGTTTTATTTTCACACACCAAAAATGTGTGGAGCTGGTGAAGGGGAAGCAGGAAGCCCAGGAGGTAGGCGTAAGCTGTCTGTCTAATACTGAACTCTGGACAGCCTTGATTTTTGTATCCCAAGGCATATTTTAATTTAGCGATCTTCACCAATGGTTTTGAGAACATCATCTATTCTGTTTCTGAAACAAAAGCCCTGTGGACCCTCAAAAGTGACTTTTCCTTGTCTCTCCTTTGTTAGGTACTTAATAAAGTGTTCTTTTTTCATTTATTTATTTATTTATTTATTTATTTATTTATTTATTTATGATTTCTGTCTCTTCCCGGCCACTGCCTCCCATTTCCCCCTCCTCCCCAAATCAAGTACCCCTCCCTCATCAGCCCAAAGAGCAACCAGGGTTCCCTGCCCTGTGGGAAGTCCAAGGACCACCCACCTCCATCCAGGTCTAGTAAGGTGAGCATCCAAACTGCCTAGGCTCCCACAAAACCAATACATGCAGTAGGATCAA